AACCAAAAAAAAAAAAAAAAAAAAGCAAGATCTTGTAGCTGGTCTAATGACTATGTAATTTTTAAATAGAGATGAGCGGGGCTGGGGATTTAGCTCAGCGGCAAAGCGCCTGCCTGGCAAGCGCAAGGTCGTGAGGTCGGTTCCTGGTGCCGGAGAAAAACCAAAAAACAAACAAACAAACAAATAAATAGAGATGAGCATAAAATGTCACTTTGAGATATCTACAACAACCAGAGTGTGATATTCAAATATCTCAGATTCAGATGGGTGACAAAGTCACAGGCACTACTAATGCTATCAGGAAGAAGAAGCTGAGGTCCACATTTTGAACAGAAAGTAATGAACAGTTTTTCAGTGTTTTAGATATCAGTAAATATAAAAAGTTGATCTTCCTCCTCTCCAAGGCTGTAGACTCCAGGTAGAAAAACCTTTTCCTAAGGGAAGCCCTAAGAGGCTAAGTGTGCATCCAGGCATACTAGAAGGTGCTAAATTGGCCTGGCCAACACCACTTCCTTCTGAAGTTTGGATCTTGAATGTTCTAAAAAGGCCCATTGTTAAAAACTTAGTCCTCAGCCCATGGTACTAATGGGAGAGGAAGGAACCTTCAAGAGGAAGGGTCTAGTGTGGGATTTCAGGTCACTGGGGGTACACTCTTGAAGGAGACTGTGGGACCCTGCTCTCTTACATTTGCTCTTCTCCTTCCTCTCAGGCATGAGGTAAACAGCTGTTCTCCACCCTGTGCTCCCCACCATGATGTGCTGTATCACTACACCCCAAAGAAATGGATCCACCCTACCATGGACTGAAACTTCTGAAACTATAAGCCAAAAGAAACCTTTCTTCTCCATACCTTGGTGGTCTCAGGCATTTATCATAGCAATCAAAAGCTTACTAACACACTTGCTTCCCTTCCCACCAACATATATAAAGAGACATTAAAATCAAGAAGAGCTGGAACTTCTGGCAAGAGCAGCACACCAGGAGAGCACAGGCTTGTGGAGATGGCAGGAGCTTACTCGAGTAGCCAGGAAGCTGGCTTCGTTGAACTCCCATGAACAACAGGGTGGTCAGGCCTATTCTGAAAGGCACAGGAGAGAACGGGTGAGAGCGCTATGGGGAGGGGGAGGGGAGGGCGGCTAACAGCAGCAGACCAGAGGGGACTCCAGAAGTTCTCATGGAGTAAAAGGGGAGTGTTCCTCCTTCCCGGTCCCTTCTCCCTGTCCCATCCAAGGGGCTGCTGCCAATGCTCACACTGTCCTCAGGGGAAGCTTGTCACCCAGGGCAGCCATGATGAAAACGGTACTCCTTGGGGATGCCAAGAGAAGAGAGGAAGGAGAGGAGGAGGCATCTCACAGTGCACCGAGCTCCCTTCCCCTCCCCCGTCAGGCCTCCCAGGGCAAGGGTCAGGTCTGATCTGGGCAGAGTAGGACTGAGATAAACCTTTAAACTGTACCTTTCTGTAGCCAAGGTGAACAGAAATCAATGACACTCACCCAGGATATCAAAAAGGGACAATACACAGAGATGGGCCAATTGAGGGAGAAACCACCTAATTCTTGCTTATATCTCATCATCGGCAGACCTACCAATATGGAAAGTGCACCTTGTAGCCGAGCCTTTAAAGGAAGACAAAGAACTAGTTTGTGCCCCAAGAGGCTACCTCAAACCAAGGGAATCACATGTGCATAACTGGCCGTAGGGCACATCTTTATGTACTACATAACATTCTTGCAGCCACCTGATTTAGCAAAATTCTAGTGGAGATTTCTGCAAACAGTTCCAGAATCCCACCTCCTACCCTTACAGAAGTTCTCCCAAAGCCAGAAAAGGTCATTCAGCTGTAGAGGCCCAGGTGGAAGGGTGGGGAAGGCCACTGGCCCAGTGTCAGCCCTGCAGCTACAGGGAGGACAGCCAGTGGGTAAACGTCCCAGTCCCTTCTGCCTCCTGCGGGACAACGCAGAGTTATATTCTGCATCTGTGGTGACCCAGTGGGAAATCAGCAAAGTCAGGCAGCATTCCTGGCTTTTCTCCTTTCCCCGTCTCCCCCTCCTTCACAGCCCCGCTTCCTGGATTGCTTCCCAAAGAGGCTATTATATCCAAGCTGTGGGCTCGGGGCCAGCTGGGGAGGAACTCCAGTTGGAAGTGTAGGGCCCCACGTAGCTGAGTCAATCGGGCTGCCTTAAAGCGCCCTGGAGATCTGTGTGACTTCATGGCAAAGGGGAAGTGGCTCCCCGGAAGAAAGTCGGGCAGTGGGATGGAGAAGAAAAAGGGCAGATGAGGACAGTCATTTGGAAATTATAAAAAATACAGCAAGTTTGAGGACAGCGGACACCTGGCAGGGAAGTCACCGGAAGAACACACACTGTCATGTGCCCACAATAGTTGAGAATACGGCAAGCGACCGGAGAGGGCTTCGTGCACAAAATGAAGCACAGCACAGGGTGTCAAGCAGACAGATTGGCCCCATTAAGGCTGGGGGCGCAGGACGAGCAGTGAGTTACGGCGCCCTGGCTGAGCCTTCTGGGGGTCTAGAAGCCAGGCCCAGCTGGGGTGAGAAGCGGAGTGCCAAGGCTGTGCACCGGCGCTGTCTGCCCTGGGGGGCACTGCGCATCATGGAGGCAGCCTGGCGTTTCTTAGATGTGCCACATGGGGGACACTGACTCTGAGGTGCTCTGGAATAAAAGGTGGGTTCTGCGGAAGCCTTCTCTGGGAGAGTTGTTCATTTGACAAAAGCTCATGGAGCACATCGTCTCTTCTGGCCCGGGGCTGGGCCGCAGGATTGCAGCAGTGGATGGGACAGAGGACGTCTCTGCCTCCGGAATGTTGCAGGCCGAAGAAAAAAATGAGCATTGAAAGAGTAAACTGATACCAGGCATAGTGGGTCTGAGTCTACACGCACTGGCTCACTGAAGCCCCACCACGGCCCACAGAGGCGAGAACTGCATGGTTGGTTATTTTAGAAATGAGGGAAAATGCACAGAAAGGCTGGGCAATTAACCAAGGACACAGTGACAGTAAGGGGTGGAGCCATGACCCAAACCCATAAAATGCAGCTCCCAAGTCTGCATTCGGACCCGCTATACTCCACCGTCTTTAACATTATAAGACCTGACATGTCTGCACGCAGGATCAACAATGTATCTCGTGGGACTCAATAAAGTGAAATGCGCAGCCCTGGCGGTGATAGGGAAGTCGGTCTCCTCTTCCCATGGGTATCCCGACCCCTGGCAGAGAAATGATCCCCAGAGGCTTGCCATACCTTAGTACCTGGCTCCCAGGTGCAAGAGGGGCCCCCACTGAGTTGTGTACCAATCGTGCCCTGAGACTCAAACCCCGCCTTGAGGTAACTGCCACCTTGCCTTTCCCGAGGCCCTGTGGGGGGGTGCTGGATCACAGTCCTCACACCATGAGCACACAGACAGACAATGACAACATGAGCCAGTCCCTGCCCTGGGCACCATGCACTGGGTGCCCCAGGGTGGCTGAGTGGACCCAGAGGAGGACAGCATGCAGCTGAGAGCCCATTTCAGGGAGGTAGCTGGAGGGCTACATGCAAGTAGAGACTCCAAGTCCTCTGATTCATGTGCCACTGTCCTGCCAGACTTCCCTTACAAAACACAACTTCAAAGGTAAAATGATTAAGCATCCAGGACAGCACCTGCAAAGCATTTCACTCCACGTGCAGGGCCCTGTGAGCGCTGAGCCCTGCGCAGCTGGCCCGGCCTACAGCCCAGGGAGGCTGGGGAAGGCAAGCCTCAGGTCATAGCTCTGCACACTGCTGCAGCAGGGAGCTCTCTGGGGATTAACCATGCAGGCGCCAGCGTCCTGCAGCTATCCCTTTGGAAATGCCACCTCGGTTCACTCTAACCCCGTAAGAGCCCTGCGATTCTGCAAACATCAGGTTATCGTCACTTTTCCGAAAGAGGAAAGAGTTTCACTAGAATCCTGATGGTGGTTAAAGGCCATCTCAGGGCTAAGCACCCAGTGCAGCTCCTCCTCCTCCAGACCAGCCCTCTCAGCCCTTGAGGGGCTTTTACACATCCTGTCTGTGGCTCAGAGAAGGCCACCATGCTGGCAGGTCGCCAGCCTCACGCTAGTATTTATTAGGAAATCTCCAGACATGCCAGGAAGCTGCAGACCAGCAAATTAGTTTAGTCATTTGGCTGGTTTATGTAAGGAGCTCTTGGCGAGCGAGCTCTGTAAAGAGCCCCTTCAAGCTCAAGTTGTAGGAAGTGGTGCTTCTCTGGTGCCTCAAGAATGCCATGTTATCCTGAGCATCCGAAGCCTCCTTCGGGAACAGAAAATTCTCACTAGACTAGGAGGAAACTGCTGGCTTTAATTATACTCAGCACCACCACCACTTGCCTCCTGAGCAGCCACTTCCAAGGCGGCCTCTGTGACCCCGAACCCGGCTGGTAATCGTGCCCTGGGTGGCCTCCACACATGCACGGGGTCGTCGGTGTAATCAGCAGAACACTGCAGAAAGGACACAGCGTGTCTTCTGGGGCTACCTCATCAAAAACATGGCGGTGTCCATCTTCCTGTCTCACCCACTGGGGAGAAGCCAGAAGCCACACTGTGAGGACCTTCAGGCAGCTCAGAGATGCTCCCATGGCTAGGGCCGGAAGTCTTCTCCCAGCGGCCATGTGAGCACTCCATCTTGGAAGTGACTTTTCAGCTTCACTGCACCTTCCATCTCATGAAGACCTTTGGGCCAGAACCAGCCAGCAAAACAGGTTTGCTGCTTGGATCCCTGACCCACAGCAGCTGGGCACGGTGCGTCTCTGTTGCTTCAAGGCACTAAGTTGAGGGCTCATTGGTTACACAGCAGTAGATAATTGATACACTTTGTAAAAGAAAAGGAAATGGGAAATCCAGCTACCTTCCGGTTTAGCTCTAAACACAATCACAAACTTGAGGTCATTCTCTGGTTGCAGCACACTTGCCCTTTAAGAGAACTCCAGGAGACACAGGCGTCACAAAGGCAGGGAGACCTCAATGGCTGGCTGAGCCTCTCAGGTGGGACCCTGGCCGTGGCTCGTGGCCTTCTCACCTCGGCAGCGTGAGCACACCCCCAGGTGAGCGGCAGCCCAGGCTCGTATCAGCAGTGATATCGATAATGGAGAAGCTGCACACCAGCTCAGGGCCTCATCGCAAAGCCAAGGCCGCCGTCTCCACGTTCAGAGCTCTCAGTACCGAGAGATGGCTCTTCCTTCCCTCTTATCTTATGGGCTGCTCTGACCCACACAGGAGGCCCCAGCGGGACCATCTCCTGTCCAAACACCGGGACACAGCACAGCCCCACTCCAGGCCAGGGGACCAGCGCTACACCGCGACTTTCCCAGCACACGCAGGACAGCCAAGGCCAGAGAAGGCTCCCATCCCCAGCCTGACTGACTTCACCCGGATCCCGGCTGTCCGGATCCAAAAGCCAATCTGATTATGCCCAGCAGCACCCCCAAGTGAGACTCTTCCACGGAAATTCCTTGCTTTCAGAACCAGGACTCAAACTCATCTCAGGTGAGACCGAAGCATCTGCAGTCCACACCCACTGCTCTGGCTTCGTCTTCCCCATTTCTGCTCCAGCCCGGCTGTTCTTCAGTTCCGTGGGAGAGCCTTGCTTCCCCTCACCCCAGGGCCTCTGCACACTGTTTGCTGTGCTCTTTTCCCCTGCTCTTCCCGGGGAAACGTCAAGTCAGTTCCCCAAGGAAGCCTCCTGCTTGCACAGTCAGAGTCAGCGCTCTGTTCAGACCATCACGGAGCACACAGCGTCGGCCCTGGCAGTGAGAATATGCTTGTCTGCGTTATCTGGTGAAAATCAGTCTCCCCCACCAGCCCATCGGAGCGGGGATCAGGTCTTGTTTCCGGTCACCGTTCCTAGTTCCAGGCGCAGGGCCTGGCCCGGGACAGAGCCTCAAAACATTTCTTCAATAAAAGAAAGGAAGAGATGAGAGAGGGAGGGAGCAGAGAGGGGTTTTCCAGCCTCACATTAAGAGTCCATGAAGTAAACAGCCCGAGGAACAGGAACTATGACAAGCATTAGAGATCTACTGGCCGCACCTGGCGGCTTTTCAGTATTTTTCCAGCCCTGGAACCACAGGTTGAAAGGCCTTGCAGGAGGAGAAAAACACAGGAAAAAGAGGAGGACGGAGGACAGACGGCCCTGTGGGAAGAATACAGACAGACGAGAGGGAGGGAGGACGGGTGGAGGGCAGGAGGAACCCGCCCCAGCTGGGTCATTCCCGTGCCTGTCGTGCGGAGGGGGGACCGTGACCCGCAAGCCCTCGCGGCCTCGCAGCTCCAGGCCCAGCACACGGCATGCTGCGACCCGAGCCCGCGAGGGCCACCCGCTGGCAGCCGGGCAGAAGGCAGCCCCTGAGGGTCTGCGGGCTTGGGGAGAGGCGCTTCGGAGCAGAAAGAAGAAAGCCAAGGCGGGTGGCGACCTGGGAGGGAGGCGGAGAGTGTGGAGCCTGCATCACACCCCTCGTTGCCCTGGGTCACCCACGGCATCGCATCGCCTCCGTGGCACCTGGACCTCTGCTTCCCCCTCTGCTCGTGTGGATGGCACGAAGGGAAGTGTGCTGCCAACACAGCCAAGTGTGCCCCGGGGGCCCGGAGTTGATCTGGTGCAAAGAATTCAGGCTGTGAACGAGGGGGCGGGGCTCCGTTCCGGGGGCGGCGCCAGCTGTCCGCCGGGTGACTGCAGCGCAGACGCCTGCTCCCCAGCTCCTGGCTTCTCAGTTTGGGTTGTCCCGCACAGGTAGAATGCAGTTTTTGTTTCGCTGCAAAAACTAATAAGCGTGTGTATCACTTCTGCGCTGGGAGGGGGCCTCCAGTCTCCCCACGTCTCCCACATCAGTGTTTGCTTTTTTTAAGGAATATTTTACAGAAAGGTGGGCGTACAGGTGGAAACAGTTAGAGGACAGCTGCAAAAAGGTGGGGAGAAATCCTAAGGCCTAAAGCAACAATTCAGTTGTGAGAGGCTGCAAAATATCAGAGAGAAGGGCTACCCCATGACTCCCCACCGACGCCATCCTTCTGTCCCGCTCCCTCAGGAGTTTGACAGAGTAGGGACTGCTCATTCCACAGGAGAACTCACCCGGCCCTTTCCGACCTGCAAAACTGGGGAACTTATTGGCCCGCATAACTGCAGTCTGGGGACCAGGTAGCTTCAGGCATGGCTGAATCCAGGAGCTCCAGCATTGCCTTCAGCACTGTTTTTCTCTCTTTTTCTCTTGATCTGCTGTCCTCTGTGCCGGCAGGATGTTCCCAGTCTCAGTGGAGTTCCCCTCTGCATAGTGTGCTTCTCTTTCTCAGTAGCTCCCCAAATTCTCAGGCCTGAGTCTCATTGGCCAGAGTTGAGACAAATGCCCTCTGGAGCAGGGATGAGTGGTCAGTCCCACCCAGATCTGGGTGCTGTCAGCCAGTGATGATGACTGGCTGTTGCACAGACCCAAGACAGCAGATGTTACCTCAAGGGCCGTGTGGGTCCCACAGGGTGACAGGCTGTCCCCCAAGCGTTAAAACACAGATGCTGGTCGCTAAGGACGCATGCTGAGGTCAAGCCACATGGTGATTCTCTTCTGGAACAGAGAGAACTGGGTGGAAAAGATCCCTCTTGCGTGGTCTTCCTTCGGAGTTGTCTCCCATTGTGGTGTCTCCAGAATAATCAGACTTAGAGGGAGAACTAGGAGGACTGTACCAGATGCCATCTGTCCATTCCTTTCTCAGCTGCCTTTTCCTCCTCACCTCTCCGCCAGCTGGCCTCTCCTCAGACGTCAGGAGGTGTTTGTGAGAGCGCCAGTGCCTCCTCTCCCGAGGTCTCCCACTAACCCTCCTTCTCTGCACTCTCTCTGCCGCCCAGCGCCTCCTCCCGCAGTGAGCCAGCCACGCCTGCGCCTTCCCTCCCACCGCTTCAGCCATCCCCAGCCCGGACTGACAGCCCACCCCACCCCACCAAGTTACAGTTTCACAGCTCACGATCCTACTAGAAGCTCCACTCAAATGCCCCCTGGCACCCCTGGCACAACACATGCAGAAACACTGAGCTCCCCATCAATCCCCTGCCAAGCCTGTTCCCCAGCTCAGTGCCTCAGACGCCCACGCACCCCCTGCCTAACACAGACTCTGAGCAGAGCCCAGCCCTCCTGCCCCTGCACAGCCCCTCAGGCTCCAGCTGTCCCCCTTCCCGCCATGACCTCGTCATCTTTCAGTGGATTCCTGTCCCCACTGGCTGCCGCCTCCACTGTGCCCCACTCCGTCCTACCACCTGCAGCTGGCTGGCCCTTCCAAATACATAGCTGGTCCACACGGGGAGCCTCGGGCAGGGAGCGCCGGTCTTCGGACTGGCGGCTCACTCCCGGCCTCGTCGTTTCCCGGAAGGAGGGCTTCCGGTGCACAGGGAGCCTTGGGCTGAGCGCCGGTCTTCCGGCTGGCTAGCTTCCTGCCTCATAGCTACTGGAGGGAGGGCCCCCAGCGCATGGGGAGCCATGCAGCAGTGAGCGCTGTTG